TACATTGGAATAATATTTAGAGTCACGTTAAACCACTTGCTCACTTTCGTCAATTCAGTCTGGTTACACCCCTCGCTCACTCATGTGAAACCACCCACTCACTCACTCACTTTTTGTCAGTCCAGACTGGTTAAACCATTCACGCACTCACTCATTCATTCACTCTCACTCACTCATTCACTCACTCATGTGAAACCACTCCCTCACTTTCGTCAGTCCAGTCTGGTTAAACCACTCACGCACTCATTCACTCACTCATGTGAAACCACTCATTCACTTTCGTCAGTCCAGACTGGTTAAACCACTCACTCACTCATGTGAAACTGCTTGCTCACTTTCGTCAATCCAGACTGGTTAATCCACTCATTCACTCACTCATTCACTCACTCATGTGAAACCGCCTGCTCACTTTCGTCAATCCAGACTGGTTAAACCACTCACGCACTCACTCACTCACTCACTCATGTGAAACCACTCACTCACTTTCGTCAGTCCAGACTGGTTAAACCACTCACGCACTCTCACTCATTCACTCACTCACTCATGTGAAAACGCTTGCTCACTTTCGTCAATCCAGACTGGTTAAACCACTCATGCACTCTCACTCACTCATTCACTCACTCACTTTCGTCAATCCAGATTGGTTTTACTTTCACTCACTCATGGTCAACCCAATACTCACTCATGTATGTTTTATTTGACCTTATTACCTTTAACGTAAACAAACATTATCAAAACACTGTAAACATGCTCTCCGTGATTAATGATACAACAACAGATTAGATCTTGATCTCTGTCCGCCAGATTTCTTCGTCCTCATAAAAGGTCAATGATGAAAGCCATTTTTATTATCCTTAAAGCACCCTCATGTGAAGGGTCCCCTAAAGAGATTATCTACCCTACATGGTAGACTTGTAATAATCCTTGGACTATGAACATCTGGAGATTTTTACACAGCTACTGTTCAAACAGCAAAACATTTACGTCCCATGTTGATCCAAAAGCCCTGAAATAATAGTCTTGTCTAATAGCTTGTCAGTAATATTCTTAGGAAAAAACAACGTGTTGACTTGGCTATTGTTGTCTGTAGGTATGGTCGTGCCTTTGTAGAGTTCAGGCAGTAATACGAACCTGGGCGGCAAGTTGAGATTATTCTCATTCCCGTGGCTCCCCCTACCTGCATTATCAAGAACTAGTCGGCTCCTCTCTTAGTAGTTTATGGCTGCATTCTTAACCTTTGACCTGCAATGTTAGTCAGTCATAGGTCAAAGGTCAGCTTTGACTCTGCTTTGAGAAACATTTGTGTAAGATTGTATTATAACATTGTCATGGAGAGGGTCTGTATTATAACACATTGTCATGGAGAGGGGCTGGTGGGTGTGTTCTGTAGGGTCGGCAAGGTTAGATAACGTAAGCAAATATTGAAATTTTATATAGGTATGTGGGTTTGTGTGAGATTGTAGGTTATGCATTCTTCTGTCATTGTTGGGGAAATATTAAGCAGTTTAAGTGTTGCGTCGTTCTTTGATGGTGAGGAGTAGTAACTATGATACTTGCACTTAGGATTTGTTTCACCTGCATCTGATTCATGTTGTTCGTGTTGCTGTCAGTAAACATTACGTCTTACTTTGCAGCTTTAGAAATTTGTTCTTTTTTGATATACGTACCAAACGACTCTATAAGGCTTTCTTAACTAGTTTGTAGCGAAAAAACACACACTGAAACTAATTGCAAGTGTTGTGTCATGACTGTGGAATGTGTGTGTGCGTGTGCGAGCGGAGTCTTATTAGCGCAAATTATACAAAAAGCTAAGGCAATTCGAGGTTGAACCACACCAGGACTAGTTTCCTTAGTTCCTGGGGCGGTGGGGTAGCCTAGTGGTTAAAGTGTTCACTCGTCACGTTGAAGACCCTGGTTCGATTCCCCACATGGGCACAATGTGTTAAGCCCATTTATGGTGTCCCCCCGCCATGATATTGCTGGAATATTGCTAAAAGCGGCGTAAAACTAAACTCAGTCAGTTCTTAGTTCCTTATTGTATTGTAACAAGCTAGAATGTATCATTCTTGCATTTAACAACACCCTTTGAAATTTGTGAAAAGACTAGTCAAGAGGAATAGTGGAAATTTTTTTTTCACTAATCCTCTCATTTTCTATCTCTTCCTGCTTGAATAAGATGTGATTTCTATCTTAACATTTTGTGTCCGTTTTATGTTCAGTTTCAACTTTTAGCAAGGTAAACATTGGGTACTCTTCCAGAATTGTAGCCTTTGAGTGCTTTTAATGAAAAAGGACTACCTTCTTTTGATTTTACTTGCCCTTGGTACAGTTAAGTTGTACTGGACTATTTGTAATATTCAAATCTTAAACGTAATATTTGTAATTTTAAAGTCTTAAAGATAATAACTGGCAAATATAGCTTCTCATAACAACATTGTGATGTGTTCTGTGCCATTCAAAGTAAACTCTCAGTGTACGACCATGTGGCTGTGCGGTAAAGGGAGACCACTGTGGTGATCAGTTTAGTATTGATGTATTGTGGGTACCATCACTTTAGTATGACAAGGTGGCAGACCAATCGAGTACTGATAATCAGGCCTCCGTCCTCTTGGGACTGAATTTGTCACTGGATGCAGCTTTCGATTAGCAGTGCTAGATAAATCTCACTTATCAGGCCCCTGCAAAGATTTAGATGCCAGGCTATCTTTAAGAAAGTAAAATAATTGAAAAACTTGTATTCTTGAGTTTTTCTTGACAATTTTTGCTATAAATGTTGGTCTTTGCCTGATAATTGTCAACCAGATGGAACCTAATATAGGCACCAACTGTTTCTGTAAAAACGAACCTGTATGAATAATTAAGGAGAAAATAAATATTCTGACACCTACATTCCCATGGTTGTTTCCGTGGCAGGAGGGGCTTCTAGTACAGCATGTTTGACTCAGGGGACCATGAGGAACAGAGAAACGTTCCAGCATCATATCTTATAACAAATATTTCTGAGAGGATATTTGAAATATAATCTGAAACATTAAAAAAACAACAATAAAATTTTCAAAATCACTGCAATCCTCATGTTCATATTGCGGTAAGACTACAGAATACCCGATACATTCCGCCATCTTTAAAAACACGTAAGTTTACTTAGGGTTAAGGTTAGGGTTAGGGTGAGGTTTAGGGTTTGGGTTATGATGACATGACACTAAACAATATGGCTGGTAGGTATCCAGTATTCTGTAGGTGTACCCATTAGGGGTGTCACGATTCGGTTCGGTTCGGTTCATCAAAAATTGAATCGATAGATGTACGATTCAATCTCGATTTCAAATGCATCCATTTCGATTCGATTCATAAAGTATCACTTACTTTCTAATACTGAGAGTTTATTTCACCTGAAATCGTAAGAAATTATGTTGAAAATTCGCTGCTACAAGTGTGGGCAGTGAGAGGGTATTCTCCACAGCCAGAGACATTGTAAGTGCCCAGAGGGCATGTCTTACCAGTGAAAATTCCTTGCACAGAACATGGTCATTCCAAATAACTTACAGTGACAGTACAGTCACAATGAACACTTGACACCAGAGTTCGTGACTGAAACATAATTTCAGGATCACTTGTTCAGTGAGTATTTGTTGACAACTTGTCTTGAGAGTGTTCTAATTGTGCCTTGTGCCAATCTATTACTTGGGAATTTATACCTAGAAGAGTTGACACTTTAAAACCGTTCTGCTCTAAAAACTGACTTCAATTTTTATCTGTTTGTGATCTGCCCTAATGTGTAAGATGTCACCCAAGCCCAAAGTGATATTACATGTATAATTAATAGAGCGTCAGGTATGTATGCGAGAGGGCTGCATTGAGTCAATGACAAAAAGATCAGTAATTGAATACAGATGACCATGTTGAAAAGGATACTTTGAGTAATTATGGAGAGCGTTGATGTACTATTGTTTTTGTGAAATTTTCATGTATATCATCTGTATGCAAGATTATTTTTGGTAATGGTGATATAATTTGTGTATTTTATGCAAATACGAATCATATGTTCTGTATGGAGCTCTGTGATATTACAAAGTTCTGTGCAGGTTATTTAGAAGCAAAACAGCTAACCAACATATCAGCTTGCTGTCTTTTTTCAAAGACGCAATTGCCAAGTGAGTGACGTTAATTTAGAAATCATCCTTATACTGAACACTAAATGTCTCAAGCTGTATGCTATCTTGTGGTTTCAATTTCACAATTGAAGCTTATGATTTTGTCCTCAACCCCAAAGATTCTCGTGCATATTTGTTGAATAGGTGTGTTTAGAGTGCAGTGTAGTCTTTGTAGAAAAGGTTCACAATATCTTATGTTTGTTGTAGTAGCTGGGTTGTGGGTGCAATACAGTGGTGGCACCAGCTCTGTCACAGAACTAAGTTACTACTCCATATTCAACAAAATAAACTGTTAATTTGTCTTGTCCAAACATGATCATATCTTCTAGTTGCTGAATACCAAGTTAAAGTAATGGTCACTTAATACCTGACGCCTCATGCATTCTCGATTTCCTAATTAATCTATATACCTTGTGTACCTGGTATACCTTGTGTGTCCTACTGACTCAATGGGAAACCCATGATTATGCAGCCAGATTTATTTTTAAGTGTTGTATATCATACTATTTCTGTTGGAAAACTTGTATATCATACGATTTCTGTTGGAAAACTTGTATATCATACGGTTTCTTTTGGAAGATTTGTATATCATACCATTTCTGTTGGAAAACTTGTATATCATACGGTTTCTGTTGGAAAACTTGTATATCATACTGCTTCTGTTGGAAGACTTGTATTTCATACTGCTTCTGTTGGAAGACTTGTATATCATACTGCTTCTGTTGGAAGACTTGTATATCATACTGCTTCTGTTGGAGACCTTATATGTAAACTGCTTCTGTTGGAAGCCAGTTCGTCCTAATGCTCCATCTGACAGCTATGTGACTGGTGTTTTTGTATTTGCAGACACAGATCCCTATGAGGATATACGTGCTATGTGGGAGTTGCCTTACACACATCAGATACTGAAGCTACTGACTCCCAGACTCCACTTCTCCAAGCTCACTATACAGGTACGTGAACTATAGTGCATGCTGTTATAAGTCAACCTTTCCATGATCACAATACAGGTAGGTGAACTACAGTGTGTGCTTTGATCATCTGGATACCCTCAAAATCCATGATCAGAATACAAGTAGGAGAGCTACAGAACATGGTGTACTACAGCCTGGATACCTGCAGAATCCACTCCTCCAAACCTACAATACAGGTAAGTGAGCTACAGAACATAGTTTTATACAGCCTGGATACCTGCAGAATCCACTCCTCCAAACCTACAATATAGGTTGGTGAGCTACAGAACATGGTGTGATACAGTTTGGATACCCTCAGAATCCACTTCTTGAAGCCCACAATCCAGGTAGGTGAGCTACAGATCATGGTGTGATACAGTTTGGATACCCTCAGAATCCACTTTTCCAAGCCCACAGAATCCACGCCTCCAATACAGGTAGGTGAGCTACAGAACATGGTGTAATACAGCCTGGATACCTGCAGAATCCACTCCTCCAAACCTACAATACAGGTAGGTGAGCTACCGAACATGGTGTGATACAGTCTGGATGCCTGCAGAATCCACTCCTCCAATACAGGTAGGTGAGCTACAGAACATGGTGTGATACAGTCTGCATACCCACAGACCCTTTTCCAGGCTCACAGGTAGGTGAGCTACCCCTAAGTGGAATGTGTCATGCTCACTGATTGTGATGCGTAGCGGATGTAACCTGATGATTTGATACATGATCTGTCTACCAATATATTATGTTTTAATTCTGTCAACTGTCATACAGAAATAGTTTTTTCACAATTACACAGCAGACCACTCAGATCCACTTTATTTAATGCTTATCAAAATATATGGCTGAATCTGATTGTGTACCACAATAAAATTGAGCCAAAATTAAACAGTCAAAGGAGCTGAACAGACAGTGGTTAATAGCAACTAGTCTGTCTTATATTACTTGTTTGTCCATACTTACTCACTAACTCTGGAACAAGGACCTCATACAGTCAATAAATACACAGTGTCTTTGGGAAAGTAGTAAAATGCAACATATGTTATTTTTGGGAGCTCTTTCTCAGTAAAGTACAGATTCTAGTTCTTTTGGGGTTTGAATCCCATGCGGGATTTGAACCAGCACTCATTCAATCAGACAATATTGATCCCAGGTAGATGATATATGTTTAATACCATGACAGGACTCGATTTAGTGCTTTGTTACTTGCACCGGTGGAACCGAATATTACGAAGTGCAACCTTGTTATTTGTCTAACCTAGCACCAGGTGCTAGTAAGTTTTTTAGAAATAAATCAACAATAAATGTAACATTATAAGCATAATTATGTCAGTTCATTTTTCTTCTAAACTTTGAATAATTCAATAGCATATTTCTTTCATTACGTATTGCAATAAGAGCAGTGCAGACGGAATTTTGCTGGTGCAACTAGGTTTTTATCTCAGGTTGCACCTGGTGCAAGTAGGTTAACATATCTTAATTCAAGCCCTGCCATGATCAGCGATATGTGAAATGTATTCTATGAAAATGCATAATTTTACTTGTTTACAAACCAATATCCATATCAATATAATAATATTAATGTTTCATTGAATTATGCATTTTGTTACCACTGACAACCAGTCTGCATGAGAAGGCAGAATTTGATGTTTTACCTTGAATTGTTATCAGTATAAGTAATTATTAAGACGTGAAATCCCTGGATAGTTGCCAACGTAGCTAATATGCTGATGCTGACGTACACACACTCTTCCTTTGCAATTCTCCACAAAATGGAACTTAATTAGATCAGCAAAAATATTTCACTCTTCAAATTAAAAAAAATCTCAAAGACTTTCAGCTTGAGAATATAAATTAAAAATATGCCAAACAAAAACGGTTGCCTGGACCTGCCTACAGCAGAGGCTGGGTTGATGGTGTTAATCCCTCTTATCTCTAAAGTATTTAGCTGCTAGTGCTCCGGATATATGTTTGGAAACGCAACTCTGAGAAGCTGTCTCGTGAGGGGCGACTTGCGGCAGCTTTACTGCAGTGCCATTGACTCAGAACGAGGATGTGACGGATTTGTTGCTATGGAAAACAGCATCTTTTGCAGATGAGAAACTAACAGTGAAATTAGTTTGTCCTCTTTTTGCCTGGCAGTGAGGACATGTGATCTGTTGATGCAATTTGCAGAGGTTATTCTCTGATATTGCTGGTATAAGACTTGATCAGATTTTGATCTTGTAAACATGGTGTTAGATGATGGCATTTGAGGGTTTCATGAAGAGATGTTTGTTTGAAGTTGACGAGCTGTCAAATAGGATTTCTATTGGCCTGTGGGTTTTTTCATAGTTGTGGGTGGGAATTGTGAAATAATGAAATTGATTTTGTCACGGTAATTTCATCAACCAACGCGCAGTGTTCATTTACTTGGTCAGTACTGGTACTACATTCAAAGTTATCCAGTGGAAATGCCACCATCTTTAAGTTTAAATCCAATTCTTTTTGTGAATTTTCTCCAACACTAAGACTTATCCCAAAACAAAAGAACACTCTCATCTGTGTCTCAAAGATTTTGCATGTCTTCTTTCGGATCGGATACCGTTGATTTAATCTGGAATTAGTTTGATTTCTTTCAGTTTTCTGAAAATATTTTATTTGATGAAAACCATCGAACTGGTGACAGCTAATGAATATTTACCGTGGGCTTCATATATTATAAAACTGACATGTATTTTAAAATAAAATTTGATTTTGTAAGCTTATTTTTTGGGGGGTAACGTTTTATCAGATGCCAGGTTTGCTCAATATATGGTCAGGTTATCAGATGTTTTTCACCTTTGATAGATACAACCTCAAGCCTAATGGTCCAAGACTAATGAATATTTACAGGTACTGGTTGTTTCCTATCCCAAAACTAGTTCTGTTACATTTACCAGCTTATCTGAAATGACCTGTGGACCCATGGACATGTTACTTGTTAGATTTAACCAATTATACTTTCATCTTGTTCTTCCACCTGTGATATGAACCAGTTATGGAGACATTATTATTTTAGTCTGCATATATTTTGTTGTCCGTGAAAGGAAGATAGGTAAATGTGCCCCAATTGTGCAAACTGTTGAACATAATAAAGAATGATCTAAATTATTACTTTCAATAATTCAGATATTTGCCATGTATCATTTGTGATTGTAGGTGGTGCAGATTTATGTCCCTTTGTTGCATCAGGATCAAGTACTTGTCAATCAAACAAGCAAGCTTTTATAGCTAAAACACTGTTTGATGCAGTATGAAACCAAATTCACTCACTCATACGTCTAATTCTAGTTAAACTTGATGCACCAGCTATCGTGGATAAAGCGTCTGCTGGGAGAGCAGAATGTAATGATTCTTCCCAGGATGCATCATTCCAAAATATGTTAAAAGTGACTAAAACACGGAGTAGAGTCGGAAGGACCGCTCACTCACTTCTATCCAAACTAAAACCAGGACAGGGTCAAGGTTTCAATTCTTTGTTGTATATTATGTCAATATATATTGAAATAGGTAAATTAGATTTCACCTTGCGACTTTGTTATATTGATGGAAGTAAGTAGTGAATATCCCTACCATTCTTCAGTACAGTCATGTTGGATTATTCAGTTAGACGTCATTTAGCGGAATGATGCATAAAACAAATACTCTATTGATTTCCATTGCTACAGATGTGTACTACAGAATCTCGTATCTTGTTTGGAGACCATGCAGATGTTTCCACTGAATAATAACTACCAGCTAATCATATTGTGTGAAATTGAACACAATCCTGTTTTTAATTTCCTTTCCTGGCACAAGCTGATTGCACAGAAGATGAGCATGTTGTCTGAATACAATGTAAAATGAGTACAAGTGAATCTGTATTGTGTAATGTTGCAGAATGTTTGCATGTCGGTACTTTTGTCAGATATCTCGGCCTGTTAAGGTTAGTTGTATAGTATACAAAATTGATCATGCCATCTTTCCAAATGTCCCGTACCAGGCTGTCTTTTCATTATGCACACAGTTATTGAATTTTGGCAACTGTCACTGCTTGTTCTGAGAATATTTGTTATTGCGTCTGCTCTGTTTTTGCCCTGCTGCACAACAATCGTCATGTGTAATGAGATTAGTGATGGTAAACTGATGGGCTGTCATGACTACCATTGGTGGGAACATACGTGTCTAGACCAATCAGAGACTGCAATCAGTCACTCAGTAGTTTGGGTATTTTCATGAAGATTTCGAAGGTAACATTAAATGTTTTATTTGAAACTGCTGATCAATACATTGTTTTAGGCAATGCACAGGCGATAAACCAACCATGGTTTCAAGTTAGGGGTTTCAAATCTAGATTTGATACCTGTAAAATTGATTTGATCACACATTTTTTCTGTGGCCAACAACAACATGATCGCCTCATGTAAATTTGATACCAATGGATCATTTGGAATGCAGGATTGTAAATGTCATGGTAAAAGTTTCAGTATTTCGAAGCACTGGGCTCATTAAAGTTGTGTACCTTAGCTGCTAGTCTGCTGATATTGGATTCAAGTTCAACAATTTCCCCGATATTGTACCTTGTTTTGTCGTTACCTGCAACTCAAAGGAATCTTGCCCACATCAGCAGACACATCATGTTATAACTGAATACTTTCCAAATTACAAATTCAGTTGTCTGTTAGTCAAGCATGAAAGTTGTATGAAGTGCTTTTAATAGTACAGAGGTATGAAAAGATTTGGTTGAAGATTATGTTGCATGTCAACAGCTGTTTGATTTTGATGCACCACATAATTGTCTTTAAGTTCTGTGTTATCCGTAGTCTCCCTGCAGACGGGCACGGTGCACGCAGTGCTTCTGGTGTCATTATACTGTGTAGAAGATAGGTATTTTCAATGTCAATAAACCAAGAAAGCACTCTTTCTTTCCTCAAGCTGGAGATTCCACTTTCAGACTTGGTTTTGTTATCTTGAACTATAAATAGTTGAAAAAAAAC